CTTCTTGCTGGATTGACTCGTGATTGTTATGTGATGTCCTTCAGGGAGCCCTGAGAGCTCCATGGGATACGCACGGGCTGCTAAACTAAAGGTCACTAGTTTGAACCCACAAATTGCAAGTGAGAAAGGTGAGGCAGGTGATTGAACTATGAAATGCTGTATGTATTAACTCCTGAATAAAAAAAAGAGAGATTTTAATAAAAGATACAGCATCTGGGCAAACGTGCAGAGCAGTTTTATTCAGTCCTGAGTTAGCGATGACTTGCTGCTAGTGTTGGTTTTGGCTTACTATTCTTCATCTCTTTTTGTAGTACGTGGATTTTAATGTAAAGTCTATTTTATCTAGTATCAGTTTGGCCACTCTGCTCTTCTTGTTCATTTCTTGCATGGGATATTTGTCTCCTTCCCCGATGTCTAAAGTGTGTTTCTTACAGATGGAAAAACGATGAGCACTTGTTTTCTCACCTGTTCTGCCACTCTGCCTTTGATGGTACTTTCAGACCACTTACTTTGAAGGTTATTGATGAAAGTTTTCTACCTCAGTATTTTACAATGTGTTTTACAAATGTTTTGTATTTTTTAATTAAAATATTTTTTGGGGTGGGTTCTTCAAAATTCTCTGGTTTTGTTTATACTTGGCTATTTTCTTGTGATGAGTCATTTTGCTGACTTTTCTTTCTTTTGAACATTTCTGCTCATTGATTTTTTTTTTTTTTAGTGGTTACAACAGAGGTTAATATACACAGAGGTCACAACAGAGGTTAATTACAAAAATGTTCCACACGAAAACTGTTCACACCCAACCTTACTATCATGAATCTATTCCTAATATGCTCCCCTGCGCCCGGATTTCGGCTGCAATGTCTCCATTGAGATCAATGCACAACCGAGGGTTAGCATTTGCTTTGTGCTTATTACACACTGGATGTTGTGTTGTTTGTGGGCTTTAATTATTGAGCATATTCCATGAAAATATCATGCACTTGTTCCTTATGATTGCCTGTGTTGTTACTTTTGGAGATTTCTTTATTCATTTTTTCCTCATGTGTAGAAATAATAATTTGATGTTCTTGTCTTTCCATCTGATCTATTCCCTTGAGTGATGCATTATTTAATATATGTAGTAGAGGGTCCTTGCAAGAAATCTGGTGACAGCAGATTCTCAGAGCTTCTCTGGACTGGTGAATGGCTCCAATTCCCCCTTGTGGTTGAATGACAACTTTGCAAAGAATTGATCATGTTCAGATTTTGGTGCTAAAACTGTTTAAAAGGAAGGGAAAGACCCAGGAAGCAAACAGAGAGATTAGGAAACAAGTGGAGAAAATGGAGGGAGAGACTCCCTAAGGGAGGTGGAAGCAAAGACAAACCTAAAACAAGGAGAACTGCTGGTTCCCAAAGGAGAAGTCTCTTCCTCATGTTCTGCTTTTGACGGGTCCTTCTGATGTTCTGTTGTTACACTTGGGCCAATTTATTCTCTTTGTTTCCTTTGCTTTTCTTAGAAATTTTAGTGATGTAGCACAAGGGCCAATCTCCTGGTTGCCTATTAAAAGGCCAGAGCCCATGGGGCAAAGATGCGGCAGTCAGCCTCTGTAGACTCAGAGCCCCCAAGCCCTATGGGGGCCTACGAGTCCTCCTGAGAACCGCTACAGACTAAACCACCTAACAACAACAACAGAAACCACCTGGCACCTAAGAGCCATTGAGTCGGTTCCAACCCATAGCAACCCTATGCCCAACAGAGCAAAACGCTGCCCAGTCCAGCGCCATCCTCCCAAGTGCTGTGCTTGAACCTACAGCGGCAGCAGGGTCAGTCCATCTCCTTGAGGGCCTTCCTCTTTTTGCTGCCCTCCTCTTTCCCAAACATGCTGTCCTTCTCCAACTTCCCTAACACGTCCGAGTACGTAAGACGACGTCTCACCACCCTTGCCTCTCTAACACGCACTCTGGCCATATTTCTTCCAAGACGGATTGGTTTGTCCTTTCAGCAGTCCATCCATGGTACCTTCAGTATTCTTCTCTAGCCCCACAATTCAAATGCATCCATTCTTCTTCCGTCTTCTTTATTCAGTATGCAATGTTCACCTGATTTTCCTATGCAAAGGTAGGGAGAGGGCTCGTCGTTCCGCATAGGTGCCTCTGCTCACCCATGGGGTGCCACTGAGGGCCTCTCCTGCTCTGTGCCTGGTCAGTCTGAAGCATTCCCCTTTGCCCAGCAGCCTTTGCTGTTTCTCCTAGTCCTAGTGTCCACCTGCCTCTGTGAGATGCTACAACACTCTTGCAATGATAAGGTCTCCCTTCGCCCCCTCTCAATTGCAGTCCATAAACTCCCACGGCCACCTTGCACCCCCTGACAAAAATCAGGCTCCACCTCCCTCAGAGTAGCCCCCTTTGAGTTCCCTGATTGTGTTGCCCCTTACGAGTGAGGTCAGCGGCTGGCCAGGTTCTCTCAGCTTCTGTGCTCATCCCACCGCTCCCTCCCCATCTTCTGGACTCACCTGACTCTCTAGCCCTTCCACGGCTCTGTGGAGCTCTGAGCTCTGAGCCTGCGCTTCTCTCTGTTGTTGTTTAAGTTGTTCAGTAGGCTAGTTGCCGGGTATGAGAGTTAAGCTTTTGTGTTAACTTGGCGGGGCCAGGATAATCACCCATGATCTGACCTAACACAATGTAATCATCCCCATAATGGGATCTGTTAGGAGTAGCCAATCAGTTTTAAGATTAGAGAAGGACAGCACGCTCACTCCTACCACAGTCCTGATCTAATCAATTGAAAGGTGGTTTCATAAGGGGTGTGGCCTGCTTCCAATGTAAGTAGATGCTGTAGAAGCTTGCGTTTTGCTGGGTCTGGATTCCGTGTCTGGCTCATCCTCTGATCTCCGATTTGAACTTTAGTCAGCCGCCTATCATATCGTTTGCCTATCCTGGGAGTCATCCGTAACTTGCCTACCTTGCATTCATTCACCTCTACAGTCACACGCCTGTCATCTCCCAGCCAATCTTGAGTTCATCAGTCCCAAAACTACTCTACTCAGGAGAAGCCTCCTGCCTAACCTCTGACTGAGACTTGGAACTGCCCGCTTCTACAACAGTGCGAGCCATGTTCTTGATATAATTTCTCTCTAAATAAACCAGTGAGGCTTGTGTATGTTTTACTTCTCTAGAGAACCCAGTCAAAGACGCCGAAGAGCAAATGGAGCATCCACTCACTTCTCCATCTTGTTTCCCTCCTCCATAGGGCTCCTTGGCTGAAATCTTTATGGATCACCAAGCCTTTCCTCCATGGTGCTGCTTGGAAAGTCTGAAGCCCCATTTGGTTAATGGTCGAAGGTAAACAGCTTGTACCACCTGTTACCATGGAGTTTATTCTGATCCAGAGTATGGAGGACAGAACAACTGCACCATAGGGTTTCCCAGGCTGTCGTCTGGATGGAAACGGACTGACACGTCTTTCAAAAGCAGCTGGGTGTGTGCAAATCACTGATACCTCATAACCATGCCACCAGGAACCCTCTTGTGCGCCTAGGGACCTCATGAAGCAGGTCGCAGGCTATGTCTGATGTGCCGACCCCTGTGCGTGTCTGGAGGACAACGCAGGTTCCTTGTCTGCTGCTCTGTCAAGCTCTCGGGGATTCCATGGCGCCCACTAGGGGGTGGGTCTCCACTGTGCAGCCGAAGCTCACTCAGCCCCTGGGGCACCGAACACTGACGCCGTTGGGAAGGGGAGCAAAGGGCACACCCACTCCGTCTAGGGGAGCGGTCCACGTAGAGCACCATCACTTTGGCTCCCATGCTGTGAGGCTGCACGGAGGTAAGCAAAACCCAAACCCACGGCCATCGAGTGGACTGCCTAGTTGTGACTGGGGCAGGAGAGAACTCTCTCTGGGCTTCTAATAAAACCCAAAGCAAACAAACCTAGCACTCCACTGCTTACGGACTTCAGAAATATGTAAGTAAAAACGAGATTCCATGACAAGTTTAAAATGTTTTCAAAGCTTACTCAGGCAGAGATTCTCCCATAACACGGCTTGTCAAGTCACTATCTAGCAGATACAAGGCATCGGCCACCTCACCAGCCCCCAACTACTCGCCGCTTGGGGCATCCCTGCTTTCAGAAGGAAACCAGCCACTTCCCAGAACGTCGCTGTGGTGTGGCTGCCTCGGTGACTTGCATGATGGAGTGTTCCTGTCATAATTCTGCCAAGAACTGTGCCCAGCGCATCTGCCCCTTCCACCGAACCAGACGGAGAAGGGCCCTTCACCAAGCAGTTCTCAACATCAGCTGCCAGTTCCATCAGGGAGGAATGAAAAAAGAATCAACCAAACTCCAATTGCAGGTCCACACATGGATCCCACCTCTGGGGACTCTTCACATCATACTCTAGCCCTGTTATCAGAGCACCGGAACATCAACTACGGCAGGCACGGTAAGTCAAAAGTAAGTCAAAATGTAGTCATTTCATCTCCCTTTTGACCCACTTAAAGCTGTTTGTTGAAAATGAAGGGGAAATGCACATGGATTAAGCCCCTGGTGAATTCCTTATGACCAGCTTTGCTTTCACCCCGAATGGAAAGTGGATTGTTGCAGATGCAGTCAGGTTAGAATTTAGCACCCTATCATTTGATCTCCCTTATGACCTATTTTAATTTGCTCTAGTTTTTAATATTTTTCTCCATATGAAATCCAGGATAGGTAAGTCTACAGAGACAGCAACTGGATTAATGGATCCTTAGGGGTATGACAGGAGAGGTTGGGGTGGACGGCAAATTAAGGATGAAGAAAATGTTCTACAGTTTTGTGGCACTCAATGTACAACTCATCTTGAAATGCACGATGTGTTACTTGTGGAAAAAGACAGCATATATATTTCATTAAAAAAAATTTATTTTCATATAAAAGTGCCAAAATATCCACCAATGTCATCATCTATCTCAACAACCAGTTTACACACTAGTAATCCAAACACAAACATCTTTATTCACATTGTTGGAAAATCAAATTCCTGTCACACATTCCCACAGTAGCTCGGGTCTCTTGCCAGCGGGAAGCTGGTGTTTCTATTGGCTGTGGTGGTCCATATGTCTAGGTCCATGGAGGCTCGGAAAGGGTTAAAGCCCGGATAGTACTCCTTGCACATGACCGCCTGGTTTTCCATGTGAGTCGAATGTTCTGTGGTGGGACTGATGGGGCAGCAATTTTCATACACGTCATTTTGTGGGGCCCAGATGGAACCAAAAAGTCCAGACATTGGAGATAAGCTTCGGGTGCTTGTGAGGTAGGGCTGGAGTGTAAATGAGAG